GGATAGGAGAAAAGCAGTGCCTGTAGCTTTGCATCACAGGAGTTGAAGATTCTGTTCCTGAATGGGGCATGAACCTGGCAACTGCCTCTAGAGCCCCTCCAGCTGTCCTGCATATAGGGACCAAGCACCTCCCATCACATACTCATGCATCCATTAACCCTGGGATTTGATAGGAACTGAACACGCTTTAGTGACCTCTCATCTGAGTGGGCGCTTGTGATGGGGCTGACAGCAGAACCGTGATGTGGACCACTCGTCCCACCCCAGTGCTTCCGTGTATTTTCATCCACCCACCTGAAAAACTATTTTTCCAGCCATCTCTATAGCTACTTTTTCCTTCTTCCCTTCCTCCCACCCATGGTGAGTGTCCCAACCTTCCTCTGTCCCCACCTGAGTTTGGCTCCAGCCTCTTTGGACATGTAGATGTCACAGGTGTGCAGGGGACCGGTGTGGTTGGCTGCTTGGCACAGCGCCTTGTGAAACTGGAACTGGAGGATGAAGCTTACAAAGTACCTGCCGAGGAAGCCCATGAAGGTGAATCCAGGGATAAAGGGCAGCTGATGCATCCCATGGCATGGAGGAAGGCACCTGGCCACACACTTCTGCTCCGTGCCATTTGTGCTGTTTGTGGATGGTCTCTAAGCCCTGAGCAAAAGCAATGCATCCCACTCTCTGCCCACAGAACTGGGACCTCCACTTCCCTTCCCCAGCCTGGCCCTCCATCCCGCAGCCAGCACCTCCTCTACCTGATGTAGGGGGTGTTCCCAGGGATGTGGTACTTCGCACCGGGGTCGAAGTTGCTTTCGTTCCTCAAAACTGGAGAGCAGATACCTTGGTATTTGGTTCTGCAAAACAACAGAGATCAAGAGCATGAGCTGGAAAGGAAGCAGATGAACCAAGGTAGGGAGCAGGAAGGGAAGGCACAGTGCTGAAGAAATCTGCACAATTAGATGTGCTGCTGTTTCCTTCCATCCATCTGCAAAGCAATTTCTCCAACCATATTCATAGACACTTTTTCCTTCCTTCCTTCCTTCCTTGCTCACCACCAGTTTTCATGCACCCATCCACCCTTGGCGATTGTCCTCTACCTCAGATACCACCAGTCGTAGTTGTAACGACTGGGGGGCGTACGGCCATTGAACACGTTCCAGCGCCACTGGTCGATGAGGTAGCCAAAGGGCAGGAAGGCGATCTTCTCCAAGGCCATCTTCAGCAGGTAATTGATGCTGCTTTCTGTATGAAACAGAGTGGTGCTAAGGACACTAGAGGTTTTGTGGGCAAGAGGGTGGACAGATCTGGATGATAAATGGGTACAGCATTTCAAAGTATAATTTTGCCTTCTTGCAAAGGTTGTGTGGGACCCAGGAGGCTTTTCTTAATGCAGCTCCTGCTCAGGGCAATATGTGCCTTTTCACTGAGTGGGGACAATGGGAGTGACCAGTCCTGGTGTCTCCTTGCCTTTAGCCTGGCTCTTAGCTATGCTGCGGGCACAGGCATGAAAGGGTTTCAGATGAGTGTAACTCTAATGGTTCCCTCTTTACACATTAGCCTTGAGGACCTCAGGGCAAAGGGTATTTGGTTCCCAGAGCTGTCACACAACTGCAAAGGCTGGGTTGGTTTGGACTCAACTGGGGTCTACCCTGGGGACAGTTACCAGTGTGGGTAGCACAGGGGAGAGTGGCATCTCCTTTCCCCTTTGCCCCAAGGAAACCCAGTGAAGGAGGGTGGGAGAAGGATCTGCTGAAGACCACGTTGGAGCTGTGTGGGCAGAGAGGGGTTGGCAGCACTGCCATGGGTTGTTGCTGGCTGCTGTGGCAGTGGTGGGGCGGCTAGCAAGGACTGCCACAGCCTGGTCCCTGTTAGCTGGGCAGCGATGCGTTGAGGCAGAGATCATCTGCTCCGTGGTGTTTGTGCAGCATCAGCCCAATGGTCTTGGCTGCTGCAATGGCTTCCCTGTCACAAAACAGATTTAATCACTGTGCAGGAGGATTCTGGGGCTGGCCCTCCTCTGCAAAGCAGCTGCCTGCAGCAGGAGTCTGCAAACGCTTGGCTTCCTCAGCTGCCGTCTGGTCTAACATGTCGGCTGAGAGGCTTCAGTGGGAGGGGGAGACTCTTGCCAAGCTGGGCATTGTCCTGCAGCAACAAACCATCCTCTGCTCTGCTGCTGGCAGGCAGTGAGCAGTGTCACTCTGTCTGACTGTCCTCGTGAACAGTGCGAGCTGTGCACATGAGCTTTCAGGGCCACCTCCACAGAGCTATGCAGGGAGCTCCTGGGGTTGACATTTCTTGGCAAGGGAAGGGGAAATGCTGGAAAGGTCAAAGCCAATCAAGCACAAAGATGACGCTTTCAAGTTTTGGGCTCTGCTGGGAGTACTGAGGAAGAGAACAGACAGATCCTTATTGCTGCCTTCAAGAGCGAAGAGGATGGCACTAAGAAGGAGGCTGTGCTTGGAGCTGAGCATGGGGGAAAGGCAGGCATCAGCCGTGGGGCCTTGTCCGCTCCAAGCCATGTGGCTGAACTGCAGCCCACCCTGGTAGAGCTAAGAGCCTTCCCTGTGCCATGGGCAGTGCCTGAGCCCTCCAGGCCACCCAGGGCCGTGGCCATACCTGTGTCCTCAGTGATGCTGCTGAGGAGCCCAATTTTCTTGAGGTGGCTGGGGGTGGAGACAGACAGGGACATGACATCACCGATGGCCTCATGGAAGCCAGGGTTGGCCCCGCTGCGGAAGGAGACGGGCTGGTCCTTGTACTGCAGGTAGTATTGCACGTGGCCCATCTCATGGTGCACTGTAAACAGCTGCTCCATGGTGACTGTGGTGCACTGCTTGATCCTGATGGGTGCAAAAAGAGCATTGTCTAAGCTAGATGAGGGCACCTGGGCTGCCTGTGATCCCCTTCAAGCACTGTGGTGTCCCTGCTGATAGCACTGAGACCTTTTCCCCAGAAGACCACAGGGCTGGCTGCATGGCCAGGCTGATGGTACCTAAATTAGTGACCAGGGAGGACTGGGTGAGGGGAGGCGGGCTTATCCTGTACCCCTGGGACTCTGCATGCCCCTACACACCTGAAGTCTTTGCGGTTGTAGAAGTCCCAGGCTGAGGCATGACATACCACCTCCCGCCCATCCTTTGGCTTCTCCAGCATGGACTTCTCCCAGAACTCGGGAGGCATCTCCAGCAACCCCAGGGAGGTGAAGAACTCCTCTGAGACTCGGAACATGTGGGTGGCATTCCAGCCCTGGTGGACAGAGCCCAGCAGACAACAGGTTACAGTGACAAAGAGGCTGCCCGCACCCTGGGCATCTCCTCTGATGCTCTCCCAGCGTTGGCCAGCACCATGGCAATGAGCCAGCTCTGTTCAAGAGCTGGGCAAGCAGATGGGAAGGCGATTGAGTTCTGCCCCTCTCGCCCAGAGTGGGGGTACCAGCCCTCAGAAATGGGGTGAGCGTCCCTGAGAAGCAGCCAGCAGCGGTGCTGGGTGGCCAGCATGGGCAGCAGGTCTGATGCTTAAGGAGGACTTGCACCTTTGTGTGTGTGTGTGCGTGTATGGTGGTGTGGCTGCAACGCACATCTCTAAGGACCAGCATTGGTCCTACAGCAAACTGTCCTTCCCCACCAGCTCCTTCTGTGATCATTGCTGGAGGAGGAATGGGGCTATTTCTGTGTCCCTTTCCCTTCCAGACACTGCTTTTCTGCTGTCTCCTATGCAGGCATGGGAAACTGCTCCAATGGGGCCAGGAGCAACATTACAGGCAAGCCCTGACCAACATCTGCCTTTTCTTCCCACTGGTACCAGCAGCAGGGTCCCATTGGCCTGTCACCTGCTGCACCATGGTGTTCGTGACATCGAGGTTGGGCTTCTCCGGGTAGGGGATCATCATGTCGTAGATGTTGTTCCACTGCTGAGCCCACATGTTGCCTGAGGAGAGAAAACAGTCAGAGCAGAGGGGGTCAGCAGGCTGGCAGCTCCCAGGAAAGCCCTTGAGCCCATGTGGTAACTCAGGCTGCCCCTGGGGTGGAAGATGTGGTGCCCATCTCTGAGGCTGAGGTGGGTCAGGAGGAAGAGAAATATTGGCTTCCCACAAGAAGCAATAGCTGGGAAGTCCCTGCCCCACCATGGCCTTGTGTGCGCTGTGGAGCTGAGGGGGTTTCTCCTCTTACCCAGGAGGTGAGCAGGGATGGGACCCTTCAGGTTGATGTATTTTGGGCCATAGTGGTTGTAGAGTTTCCTCCGAACGAAGGCGTGCAGGTTGAGGTAGAGCGGTTCCAGCTGGTTGTAGAGCTGTTCCAGGTCATCCTCAAAAGTGAGTGAGTCGTACCAGGAGCGCCAGTACTCACCTGTGTCCTTGAATCCTGCCAGGGAAGGAGCCATTACCCGCAAACTCCAGCCTCCGGGGACTGAATGACTCCCCGTTGCTCCCGCCCCAGGAGCATCAGAGCTGGGACAAGGCTGTGAGCTCCTCCCTGCCTCCCCCAGCCCCGCTCGCACCATCCATCTGGTAGGCCTCGTTGCTCAGCTTCACAAACTCCTGGTACATGGCCCGCAGAGGGTTGCCTGCCGCATTGTGCCAGCCCTCCCAGGCGTAGAGCAGTTTCTTGTAGCTACGGGAGTTGGCCATGATTTCCGAGATATCTGGGACAGAGGCAGGAAAAGTGGGATGTTAGAGAAACTGGTGGGAAAGAGGGGCAGGGAGGGTGGCAAAACCCATAGCTGCTCTTCAGAGATGCCAGCATCCCACCAGACCCAAACGCCCCAGGACAACTGCCAAATGTGGACCGGGATCATTCTCTTGCTGCTGTCCCACTCCAGGTGGCAATCTGGAGACCCAGACACATTCAGGGTCCTCAGCAGAGCTGGAAGGTGCTCAGCACCTCCCAGGACAACATGTGGTGCCTGGAGAGCTCTGCCTTCATGGTGGAGGGCCAGCCCCGTGGGATGGGGACCATACCTGGCTCCAGCTCCCAGCAGGTACCGTTGGCCTGGCACACCTTGGCTGTGGAGTAGATTTTGTCCATGTCACTCAGGATGGTGTTGTACTGGAGGGGAGGAAAAGAAGCTGTTGGGGGTCAAAGGAGATGAAATTGGGATTTCTCAGAGCACATAGGATGCCAGGGATAAGGTCAACTGTGCTCTGTCCCCATAGGAGAGGAGGCATATAGCATGGTTCCGATGGATTCATAAAGACTTCTCAGCTCTGGAGCACGTGTGTCCTGAGGGATGTGGAGGAGGCTCTGTGCATGTGTGTAGCACAGTTTTTGGCGAGATAAGCTTGTGCCCACCTGCAGTTTTTGCACACTTTGTGCTGTGGGAGCAACAAAGCTCTTTGGGACAGATAAACCTATCCAAAGGCAGTCGCTGAAAACCCTTTCAAAATACATGCTAGTGCACGAGGCGTCCCAGAGCGCAGTTATTTATAACGTTCTTTGTGTGAAGGGCTACAGCCGAGACTGTTTATTTAAGGAGGCAAAGAAAAGCAGGAGGAGGGGATTTATTTCTGTGAACTTCAAGAACAGCAAACAATAGCAACAGGAGATTTCCTGGAACCTGCCTGGGGTACCCATTCCCAGGGAAGGAAATTCCTCCCCTCTGTCCCTCTCTCCAGCCCGAACCCACAGCTAGGAGCAGGCTGGAGGTGAGTGGCATGGAGGCAGTGGGTGCTGGGTGCCAGCGGGAACGCTCCTGTGTGGGTGCTTTGCCAGCCCTTGGTGTAACGTGTATGCGGGGAGATTTGACGCTTTCTGTTATCTGGGAGAGGGCAGTGACGGGTTTCCTGGAAGGAACTGGGGCCGACGCTGCTCCCGAGAGCATTAGCTCACCATGCACAAAAGCCAAGTGTGCACTGCAATGGGGAGGTGCCCCCATGAGCCACGAAAGACATGGAAAGAGAGAGGGATTTCGCTAAGCACCTTGCCATGTGGCTGGGTACGTAGAGGCACTCAGCCTGCTGGGCATAGCGGGGTGCTGAGACAGTGTTGGCTGGGGACCAAACGAGCAGCCTGGAGCTTTTTTTTTTTTGGAAAAATGAGGCTTCATGTGAGGCGATTCAACTCAAAAGTGGTGGCTGAAACGTGCCGGGCTCCGGGGAGGGTGCCAAGCATGGCACCATGGTTGGCGAGCGGTGCCATGTGACGCTTGCACAAGGGTGACGGCCTGGGCACTGTTTCATATATAGAAATTTGTATATGTATCACTTTGCATATATGTAAGTGTGTCTTCTATGTATGCCATATATGGATGTCACTTTGCATATATGTAAGTGACCCTTAAAACCCAGGGCCGTGGTGGAGGAGGCTCAAGGCTTCCTGGTTGGGCTCTTACTGATGTCCCCAGCTCTGAGCTGTCTCAGGTTGCAGGGAGGCTTGGGAGCTAGTGCCTCCCAGTCCTCTCCAGTCTGCGCCCACCAGGGAGGCCAACACCTGGGCCAAAAGCCCCTTTCCAAAACGAGCAGTGATTTTTTGGCTGCCTGGAGAGGCTGTGAAGGGAGGCGAGGGGGCAGCTTCTCCCCCCTCCCCTGGCGCTCCCACCACCAGGCTGTGCTAAGCCATGTTTCGGGGTCCCTGCCCTTCCCTCCCCCTGGGGCTGCCGGAGGAGCCCTCCTTTCTGCCAGGGCCCTTAGGAGTGCGGCCCCGAGGAGCCCACGCTTCTGCGGTTGGTGGGAGACTGGGATGTGTTTGCGAGCCAGCTGGCCCCCAGCCATGGGCGCAGCCTGGCTCAGCTCCAGGGAATACCCAAGGCCGCTCAGTATAAGCAGGAAATCTCCATCTCTCACTCACATGTAGCTCAGGAGCCAATGTTACAGCTGGATAACAGGCTCCGTCCCTATGGTTGTAGGATCCCAGCCCCTCTCCTCCTGCATCACCATGTCCCCAATGTAGGGGCATGGTCACCAACCAGGGAGAACATCCTGAACGCAACGGAGGAGCGCTGGGCCAGAAAAGGGGCCTGAAGATCTTGAGAACAGAGCCTTCAACAAGGATCCCAAGCACCCCAGCCAATGCTTGGACACCCACAGCTGGGGGCTTCCTCTGATCCTTCCCCATGCCCCAGCACTGGCAGCTTGATACCTACCTGCTCTCTCTTCTCCAGAGGCAGGTTGGAGGGCCCCAGAGTCTGGATGGAGCCGATGATCTTCCTTAGCTGCGAGTTGCTGAAGTTGCTCCAGATGTTGCTGTAGAGCTCCTTGGCTTTCTTCCCCCAGGCCTCAGTGAAGTTCTGCTCCACCAGGGAAGCCTCCACCTGCGAGGTGAGAGGGACATGAGATTTGGGAAAGATGGAGAGATAGAGCTGCGGCAGACCTGGCCACTGAGCCGGTGTGGCCTGGGGGACCTGCTGTGCTACCTTCTGGGGCCCCAGAGTGCAGGGAGAGCAGCAAGTGCAGCCTTGCATGTGCCTTATCCCCTCCATGCCATTGCAGATGCTGGACGTGGGGCAGAAGGAAGGGGTGGTGACAAGTCAGATTTAAATCCATGGGGGCTATTATGGAGGCAGGGGGCTGCTAACTGGGGTGCTTACAAGCCCCACACCAGCCCGGCGTGGACCACCACCTGGCAGCGAGGTGGCCGGCCGCAGCCATGACCTGACACGGTGCGGTCGCCAGCTTTTCTGCGAGCCAGAGGGTTGAGAGACGCAAGGTAGTGGGCAGGGTCACCATGCTCCCTGACGCTTATGCAAAGAGACATCTGTTTCCAGCCAATGTGGCAACCTCTGCAGCCCCCGCATGCCTGGAGCGCACCCAGTGAGCGGCCGAGCGCACGGGAAGGTGTTATTTAAGGCTGTTTTCAAGGCAGCTCTGGGGCTTCTTGATGCGAGCCAGAGGGTTGAGAGACGCAAGGTAGTGGGCAGGGTCACCATGCTCCCTGACGCTTATGCAAAGAGACATCTGTTTCCAGCCAATGTGGCAACCTCTGCAGCCCCCGCATGCCTGGAGCGCACCCAGTGAGCGGCCGAGCGCACGGGAAGGTGTTATTTAAGGCTGTTTTCAAGGCAGCTCTGGGGCTTCTTGACCCAGCTGGGATGCTGGGACGTGGCTGCTGCAGGTTTCGCTGCTGGAAAAAGAGCCGAGACACACAACTGTAGGATACCATGGGCTGGTAGAACAGTGAGCGTGGGCTATTTCTGCACACCTG